ACCACTCGTTCCATGTAGAAATTGTTCCTAATATCTAACCTGAACCTCCCTTGGCACAACTTGAAGCTAGACCAAAGGCAACAACAGAAAGGAGAGCAATTCGGAACCACAAAACACCAGGGATTTAGGGTCCTACCAATTGGGATGTTACTAAGAAAACCCTTTGCTAGCCTTGTATCTGCTAGCACAGGAGGCTTGCAGAGCTGCCAGCATTTGAGAATAAGGCAAGACAGTTGTCGCATCAGTGACAGAGCCTAAAATTCCTGGTGAAATATATTTTACTGTAATTAGAATAATATCTAATACTTTCTTTTAAAGTGTTATTTGGATCAGACAGACCCTGTAGCAGTTTCACAAAGACTTGCTATTCTGTATATGTTTTCCAGTGGAAAAGAGGACATTTCTTTCTAGTAATGATCACTATACCCATGACACACTAAAAACTGTAAGTTAAACAGTAGCAGTAGAACTGCCTTGGGAAATATTAAAACCTTCGAGATTCTAGGAAGAATGCCAATATCAATTTTAAAAGAATAAATTCAAAGCTTGGAACACACAGCTGGATGAAAATCATTTTCTCTCCTCTGTATCTGAAAATAGTTGGAAATAAAACCTTTCCCTGGCTACAGGGCTTAAACTAATGCTGCTGTGTATCATTTTAAATTAAACATACTTCTGAAGACAGTCTCAGGAAGGAACTCATGATTCAGTTGTCAAATGCCAGCACCGATTATGGAAACGAGTGTTTCTTGTTCACAGTTTTGGATTTTGCCGTGTGTGTCTGTGTCTGTGTGTGTGTGTCTGAGCATTTTTAGCTCTATCCTGATAAATTTTTATAAACTTTAGGAACGGATATGAGAAACATGTAATTACAAGGGTTAACAGCAGTATGAATCTAAAGTTTGGTGGTACTCCTACTCCGAGACAGAAATTGCCCCAAGAACATTAGAACAAAAGCAGAAAGTTCCCTGAGACATCTACAGCAAGCTTAGTTCTGAGCCTTAATTCTTACAGCAATTTTCAGCATTGCTGATTTATTTCTGAAGTCTTTCATAAGGCAATTAGGTCAGAACTGGCTGTCTTTGTGCATAGGCAGACCTTAAGCCAAAACACAGTAAGATAAGAGAAAACAAATGTTTCTGAGTAGGGTAAGATGAAAGGCAAAGTAACAGGCACAAGATCACACTGGCCAGTTACTGGCAAAGCAGATTATTATAAAACTGCCACATACAATAATGTCATAAGACTAAAATGATAGTTGATAGCTATTTGGAGTAAATATGATAAATTGACACTGGCCTTTTGTACAGTCAGTACTAATCCGCTGCTTTAGTAGCTCCTGCACTTTAAAATAAATTAAATATTAATGTAAGAGAATTAATGCAATATTCTATCTCCCTCCTTAGACAGGATCAGGCAGACTCACAAACATGGTTCTTAACATACATCATGTTGAACCTTGAAAATTGCATTTTTTTGGTTTAACTATGAAGCAGGACAGATGTGATATCTGTATGATCAGGGACTGTATTCCCAGGCAGAACACCCCTACCAGGGCACCTACAGGAGCTAACTTGCCCAGAAAAAGGTCAGGTTTCAGCTCAAGGCCTCAGCTTTCCAGGCTAGGGCTTCCCAGGAACTCAGCTGGACTGCCTGGTACACTGCATTCAGAAGACTCAAAAGTACATCCAAGTAACATGGAAATATTAAAAAAAAAAAAAGCCTAAAAATGAAAACACAAGACTTGTTTCAACTTACAATTTCACCCCGTATGCCCTTTTCTCCCCTGGGTCCCTGCAAGAAAGAGAAACTGTTAATCCAACATGCTTTCTAGCCTTCTGGGAGTGAAGTAAACTAATTAAGATGTGCAAAAATTACACTGCTTACAGGAATACTCCAGTCTCAGCTCATCTGTAGAAACATTTGCAGTTCTGGGGCTCTAATTCTGCTGTATTATTAGAAAAGTAAATTACTTGAAAACATCTTGTAATTATTATATCTAGAAAGTTGGTTGTTTTCTTCAGATTGCAGATATATTTTTGCTCAGTAACTTTAATTCCTAATATTTTCCAGTCAGTCAGTTCTATTCTTCTATTTGATCCACAGTACTAGCAGGTCAGTGTTTTGCCATCTTAAGAGTTGAGAAGCAAACCGGGTGCTTCCTGTCACTGATGGCAACTTTTCATGTCACAGAGAATTCATCTTCAATTATAACACTTTCTTTATGATAATGGCAAACTATTTGTTTCAGTGTAAAGTCTATTAAAAGTTTTCATTCAGAAAAGAACTGAAAAGAAGTGGAAGCTTAGTTTTTCTCCTGAGAGGGAATGAAAAGAATGCAGTATGACTTAAGATGTTGTTCTCTCCCAACAGCTAAAGAGAATACTCTAATTATAGAAGGAACCTTTCCTTTCCTCTTTCCTTTTCAATTCTCCTGTGCACATGATTCTATGTAATTGTTCATATTTATTATTTTTATTCAATGTTTGTGTTATTTTGATAGTTCTCATTTCAACTTTTTAGATATTCCCATTCCATTCAAGTCTTCTCATTCAGAGAGTGGAACTCTGATAGTAACATGGGTGGGAGAGGTACTCCGGTCTAAGGGACTGCAGACAGAGCAAGGGGATGCCCTTGCAAAGGACTCCCCCATTTCCAGCATTGAGGATGTGACAAGGAATGGAAACAAGGGCAGAGGCAGAGCATCCTCACTGCAGACAACCTGGGGAGCTTTGAGGGTCATCGACAAGGATTGAAAAGACTGGAGCTCTCCAATCAGGGCCTTTGGGTTCATCCAGTATGTATGTCTGGAGAAAGTTTAGGTCAAAGAAAGGTATGGCACCAACATGTGAAAGTTCAAGTACACTGAAATCGAGCATGGATGCTCTCAGCCGTGTCAGAATACCTGATGCAGGTTTACGCCTTGACTTGCCTGCTGGCCCCTCTATACAGACCCTCTGTATACTGTACTTGGGGAAAAGGTCATGGTGCTTACTTTTTTTATCTTGTTTCTATTATAGAATCACATAGGTTAGCTCAACAGCATGGCATAATATGAAGAGAACCTTGCAAGCTGCTGTTTGCAAACGGAAAAATAAGGTTGCTAATTGCAAAAAAAAAAAAAAAAAAAAAAAAAAAAAGTATATGGGTGAAATAACCCAATGATACAAATGAATCCGAACTTACAGGCCTGCCAGTTGGACCCGTTGCACCTTCTCGACCAACAGGGCCAATGTATCCCTATAAATAAACATAGGAATTTATTAGTCCTGCCATGTTTTCAAAAAGAAGAAATTCCTGAAGACATGCCCTGGTTTAAAGTTTCTCAGCCTATACTCCTGACATATATCCAAAACACCATGCCAGTGTTGTTGTTCTCAAGACTGAGTGCACACTGATATGCAATTGACAATTTCTCTTTAATAATTATTATTTATGTTTGGAGAGCCCCCCCTTCCACATGAGAGTTCATTCACTAAAAAAGTGGAAGTCTAAGCACTTTCTTTACTAACGATCAGTATTTATTGAGCTACCTACAACTATATCTTGAGCAATATTACTGCCCACAAGTATTTCTACAATGCTGCCAAAAGGTACTGCTCAAAATGTTACTTTATTGTTTCATTTCCTTTAGAGAAAAATATTCTTTTCCAGAGTTTCTCTTATACAGGGACGTTTAGGAAAAGAAAACACTTATTGGAACAGGCCACCGAAACTGTTAGCATGGCCTCTGGTCATGAGATGATGGCTCAGTGAACACGTATCACAAATGAGGAGATGTCAATGGCAGCAGTGAGAGAAGAGCATCTTGCAGTAAGACTTTCTGTGCTGCAACCTTCCCTCTATTTTTTCACTTTACGCTTTAAGCTGGATGCACACTCTCCAATAGTACATAATCTTAAAAAAGAAGACTTCTGTCCTTGAAAATAGGAAAAAGAGAATTCCCTAAAAGCAAAGAAATATGCAACCTGCAAGCCATCCTGAAATCTCTTTCATTCATTCAGCAAAAGACTTACGACTTGTCCTGTTGGACCTTTCGGTCCCAGAATTCCAATGAGGCCGCCGTCGCCTGCAGGACCCTGATAATGCAAAGGGATAGTGTAGTCAAACATGAACGTTACCTTTTGACTCGTCTTTAATCTCTTCTAAGTGGAAGTAAGATATTTTTTAAGAGCAGTAACAGGGAAAATATCAAGCTCACTGATCCAGAACTTCACTCTTTGGACATGCAGTACAAAACTCTACCTGCAGTTTTCCAGCAGTTCAGGTAGTTCTTGAACAAATTATTGTTAAAGTCGATTAAATCTGTGCTTTCCTAATGAATTTCAATCTGTAAATGGCTTAAAATCTAATAGAAAAGAATGAACACATACTTTTGGACCTGGGAATCCTTGAAACCCCATCAAACCTTGATCTCCATGTTCTCCCTGTAACAGGATCAGGCATCCTCATTATTATTTTATGTTGGAAACTCTTGGACTAGTTTTGTGTCAACAGATGTGATTACATACAGCCTGTCCTTTCAGTCCAGTGTCTCCTGCTGGCCCCTGGTCACCTGGTGATCCTGGAAGGCCTCTTTTGCCTCGTTTTCCTGTATGACCCTGAAGCCCTTTCTCACCCTGTGGATAGGAAGATAATACAGCCTTTATTATCGTTACTATGACAGTTATAAAAGTAAAGAGAAGATTTCAGGAGTATTAAGTATATAGAAACCATAGCCAGCTCAGGGTATTACAGAACTGCAAGAAGTCATGGCTGGGAGCACATGCTCAGCTTGCTTTGCTCTTACTCTCTTTCCTAGGTGTTTGCTTTCAGCTCCAAAGACCGACTTCTGGACCGATACAATAGGCCCACTCTAATTTAATGTGATTATTTTGCATGATGTGGTATCCTTTTCCCCTCATCTTCTCTATTCCCTGTCTTTTCAGATCACAAGTTTTCTGAACAGGAACTACCTCCTCTATCTCACTGTATACACAGAGGGGTATAATCCAGATTGGGAGTAGTGGCAAGAAGTCACTACAAATAGTGAGTATAGTTTATACTGGAATAGTTTCATGGAAAGCTAGGAAAGGAGACAGTATTCTCTTCCCCCAATTTACAAATAATTTAAGGTCTCAAAGGCTACCAATTAAACCATATGTAACACTGTAAATCATTGTCTTAAATTACAAGTTCTTCTCTAAGTCCTAAAAATTATTTCCATAACATTCCCATTCTTTGCTTCTTTTACTATTTGAAACATGTATAGTTAATATTATCAATAGAATTTGAGGTTATGTTGCTGTCAGTAGCTGGAACTGTCTGGAAAATGGAGCACACTCAAGAGTTCTTACAGGGCAGAATAAGAAAAATTTCAGTCTTACGATAAATGAACATCCCAGACACAGTTGCTAGCCCCCAAATTTGGGACTTACCCTTGAAAAAGTGCAGCACTTATTCATCAATAAATGGCTTTGATATTCAAATACGTTTGCTACCCTCTCTTGTCTCAGTTACGGAAGTTTAAAAAGAAAAGATAGGAAACATTTGGCCCTAAAACTTTGATGAATAAAAACACAGAGTTTTGAATGGGTGCTAGAGCTGGAAGTAGCATCTGGACAGATAGATGGGGACTCTGCTTTCTACTTATAGTTTACAGAAGTGAGGTCAGCACAAGCTGCAATGTTACCCTTCAAACGTTTTGATATCAATCTTCATGTGATTTAGCCATAGTCTCACAATCACTTTTTGCAGTATGAAGTCTAAAAGGTATCAATAATACTGTACTTAAACAAGATCCCACTGATGTACCTTTAGTCCTGGTGCTCCCATGGCCCCTGGCATGCCTGGTAATCCCTTGGGACCTCGAGCTCCAGGATAACCTGCCAGACCGGTTATTCCTGGGTTTCCTTTATTACCCTTAACACATCCAAAATAATTGATTACCATCAGAAAAACCTAACATTTTTTTTTTCATTGCATGATAGAACAGGCAAACGACATACAATCAAACAATACTTCTGGATATTTTCTGTATGCACAGGTGGATAGTACATCAAAACATACATAAATACTATGATCTGCAGTATCATCTAGATTTCTGAAAATACTTCAAAAGCAAAAATCACTTACACTTAGCTACCTCTGCTGTGAGTGAAGTGCCAGTTTCTGAGGAATCACTGCTTTGGCCCTCTGCAAGTGTTCAGTTCATTGCTCTTCTAGAACCTCATTCTCTCCTACCCTAAATATCCTGCTATGGATTCTGTGGAATCACCTGTCTGACGCGCAAAGGCTTCTGGAAGGATCCTAGAGAGTCTGTTGCCTCTTGGGGCTTATGCAGAGCATCTCCCCTACCAGCACCCTCCTAACCAGACGCAGCTACTCAGCTGCTGGTGCCAGGGATGTAGAAATAGTGACCAACCTTCTGCCCACTGTAATTGCACATTCACGTATGTCTGGAATCACTTGTAGGCATACCAGTAACTGCTTTTACCTTCCATGAGGATAATGGGAACCATACAAAATAGTTTATGAGAGACCTGAAACTTCTTCCATATCTGAAAACTTGCATGTTCAGATTAACAGCCTTTAACATCCACCCCTATTTCTAATTCTATTTTGAAATACGCAGAAACAAAGCATTAATCTTAAGTATAGAAAATGACTCCCTGAGATCTCTCTTGGATGAGAGGTGCATGGTCTTTGCAAATCTATGTTGTGTTCTTTTTAGTTAAAAATCTGATTCTGAACTTACAATAAGGAGCTTGTTCTGATGAAAACAAGATGCTAAATTAATTCACTACAGATGTGCTGAAAATACTGTCCAGATTCAAAGTATTCATTTGTCCAAAAAAGATTTTTTTTTTAATAACAAAACATAACAATGGAACATAATAAAACATAAAATGGAAGCACCTTCCTTCAGAAATGTTCAAAATTCAACATGCCTGCTTATAAACAAGACATACTAATATGTCTTTGACTGTGCGTACTTGGAAGGAATTCATAAAAGAATAGCTTTACCACATCAAGAAAAATCAGAACATTTGTTATGAAAATGCACCATAACATCAGACATAAAAGAGAATGAACATTTATAATGAAAAAACATATTACTGAGTGCATGGAATTAAGCCAACTGCCATGTTAAAAATACAAAATGGTAATTTGTCTCAACCATAATAAGTGTTTCTGTGATGTCATTTAGTTGTAAAAATAGAATATCTATATACATATATATGGGGTGTGTGCGTATTTTTTTCTTTTCATATGCCATTTCCTTAAGCATTTACAGAAATAAAGATTACATGAAATGTAACTTTTATATTAAATGTTATTTCCAGGTCTTCTGAATATAGTACTGTGACTTATAGTCTGGTAGGCTTATATAGCCAATGTTCTGTCTGATTTTTCCATTAGGAAAAAAAAGTTTCACTTAAAAATCTCTCTGCATTACAAATTATAATGCTACTATCTATTGCTAATACAGAGTAACGAAGTAGTGTTTTAAGAGAAGAAACAGGATGTTTTGAATGTAAATGTTTGTTGGAGTAATACTCTTATAAAAGCTCTGAAGAATTTTAAATACTTGAATGAAGTTCAATAAGACTAACAGAAGCTTGGAATAAGGAGCACCTGCCCCCTCTGGGAAACTTCTTCAATTTTCTTTTTCAACCAAATACGCAAAACTAGACATGTAACTGTGCCTCATTCTGCACCTTGAAGAATTCCTCCCATAATATTTAACTTGATATATAAAAATTATTGGTCTATCTAGCTAAAACTACTGAGAAATAATACAGATTAAATCGATGCAGCTAGATTTCTGATAACAAAAAATCATCAAAGGAACTTTCTCCCCTCTCTCTATTGAATGAATGCAGATCTGTTGCATCCTTGCTAAAGGAGAAAGCAGGCTGGTAGCTGCCCTTTGCTCATGGCTAAATACAGATGAAAAATCTGGTGGCAGGAATGTTTTCAGCTCCTGTGCACTACCTGTAACACCTTGCACTCCTTTTCACTGTTTTTGGATGAAGCTTCAAAATTGCCTAGACACATAGATGCAGCCTACAAATTCAAAGACAAAAAGGGAAGTGTGGGATGATCTCAGAACCTGACCAACAGAGAAGTGATGGGATCAGTTGGGGTCTATGGTTTGTGTTCACAAACAGAATTGTGAAGTCTCACGGCAGAACAACATTTTTCTTCTACTGTAGATATTACTGGTGATGTAGGGTGATAAAATAGTTATCCTGACAGCACTCTTTCTCTATTTTAACTTTACTTCCTATCCAGCATATCAATAGCAAAAGACAAAGAAAACAAAGAATTGGTCCCATTTTCAAGATGCTGGGAAAACTGAGAATAGCTCCTTCTGTTTAAATACTTTAATCTTGGAAAATTCACAATCCATAAAGGTCTAAAGAGAACAATGTGGAAGGCAACTTACCTTATGGCCAGGTTTCCCTGGCAGTCCAGGTTTTCCAGGGTTCCCAGGAACGCCTTCTGGTCCAGGGTACCCAATTGCTCCTTTTTGCCCTATTGGCCCTGGTTTTCCCTTGAAACAAATTCAAACAAAGCAAAAAAGGGTTGATTTTCTTTACCTCCTCCATCACAGAACGAGATTTCAGTCACAGTACTTCCTAAACCCTACATAATAAGAGACCCTGTGACCCAGATGAATACTCACAGAGGGAGCTCTGAGTTTGGATATTTGTTTAAAATGCTATTGCTTGACCTTAGACTGCTGGGCTGCTGGCTCTGAAGAAATCTGGCTGAAACCACAAGGGGTCTTGCTGATCCCTCTGTGTGCCAGGGCTGGCTGCGGGGCCAACCTCTCTGCATGTCAGACCTGGGAGATACCTTAACAACAGCAATGCAGAATATGAAGTGTGTCATCCTAGTCTCATTTCTAACTTCTAGTTCCTGATCAGTCTTGCACTGGGGATGCACTGGGGATTTCCCTAAGCCCCACTTTTACTGTGTTCTCCTCCTCTCTTGCCTGTATGTGTTGCCTTTCTGTCTTTTCCATGGTTCTGCACAACTGAGGCTCTCTCTCCAGTCCTTCAGAGGGGAGAGCCAAGCATTTACAAAGACACACAGTCTGCTTGTCCTCAAAAGGCCGTTCTTCCACTCTGTCCAGAAGGTACAAGCTCTGGGAAGCAGCTGTATTTCTCTGGTTACCAGCAATGTTTTGATGTGAGGTAGTAAAAGTTATTTATAATATGTGCTTGTGTGGTATTATTTATTAGAGGACTAAAATAGCCTTGATGCATGTCTCTTTTGGTTATGTTTACAGGGCACACCCTGCTTCCCACTCCCGCTTTTCCCTCGCGGAGCCCCGGATGCCTTCCCTAGAGCAGCTGAAGCAGGAGCGAGGTCAGGGTAAGTGAGAGCAAGCAAGCCCAGGGAGGCTGCCAGCTACATGAGCCATGCACATGCAGACATCAACCTCTGCAGGCTGCAGGGGCTCAAAGGCGACCCGAAGGGAGCCAGGAGCAAACAGCAGCCTGCCTGGGACACTGGGACACGACCCCTTCCACGTGTGCCATGAGCCACACGGACGGATGAGCTAGTTATGTAACCTGACAAGCGGGGAGCACCTTGTTACGCACACAGCAGCTGTACTTCTCATGTTCTGAGTAACTCAGTGTGGTCTGAGAACATTTAACATGTTCTCAAAAATTATTCTTATTTTTCACAGGGGTTCTTTTGTACTCAGGTAATAGGAATGTTGTTTTCAGTGCACATAAATTGCTTCTACATCAACTTTACTGGAATAATGAAAAATGCCCACAGAATATAAAAGTCCGTCTGGAACCAAGGCACAGGTCAAACTTGATTTTATCCATCATTTTCTTTTATTTATAAACAGAAGATAAATGGTAGGATTTTGTTACTTACAGGAATTCCAGGTTTGCCTGCTTCACCCATAGCACCTTTCTTCCCTGTGGGTCCCTGGAAGTTAGAAATATTTGGGAATCAACAAACATCATTAACTAAATCCCCTAAGAAAAGCTCAGAATTGTTCCCTTATAGACAAATGCTCACATTGCCTGGCTTTGGATCAGATCATTTCCATTTCAGGACACAGCAGAAACTTCTTCTAGAAGTGTATATATTTTCTGGTAGACTTGTATATATTTTCCCTTTCCTGAATGGGCAGTTTGTAGCTTTCAGATCATTTTCAACAACAACAGTCATAAAAAGTTATTCACTGCAAAGCTGACATTTTCAGCTCTAAGATCCACATATTTGTACAACAACTTTCATAATGAAAATGAAAATCACAAATATCAGAAAAAGCAATGTAGATGTACTGAACATGTGTGGAAGAGGTACTAGAAAACTAGATTGTCATAAAAGGGAATGGTTTTTTTAAACTATAATGCACATGAAAAATACTGTAAACCAGACTTTGGGGGTGTGGTTGAGCCAGAAATCTGTAATTATGGATAACTGAGTGATATGGATAGCAGGTAACATTCTCGTAAGTGACCTAGGGACACAGGAGGCCAAATACCATCAAAGAAAAGCAGAGAGTAGATCAAAAGCACTTCAAATAATTGTTTATATGGTGTTTTTTTTATGGAATGAAACAATATAAAGCATTTCTCTACCTTTAGAAATCATTCATAAATCACAATGTGGACAGGAGTTACATTCAACCTCTCAAAAATATAACCACTCAGACAGCAAGGACAAGAATAATACTTGTTGGATCAAGTGAAAAAGTACTTTCTAGACTTTCTGTATTATTTTTTAATACCTTTCTTAAAACAAAAGGTAGAAAATTACTATGCTGCAATAAGCTAAAATTATATATCATGCAAAAAGGTAAAAACGCTAAGATCTTTTTAAATCTAATTGTTCTAATTTACACCTGTCAAAATGCCTGTACGCTGCTGGAAGTGATCACAAACACTGCTGGAGCCCTGGGAAGCTCTTGGCTCTCCATTATCTCCATATCTTTCTAAGTCCATATCATAAGGATCTAAGTCCATATCTTTCACATCTCTGGATGATGTGAAAGTATTGCTTAGTCCTTGCTGAATATTCTTTCTAAGTTCTTATGGACTTGAAATTGAACATACAATAAAAAGAATCTCCTGTTAATTAGTTAGCCAAAATTCAGCCTAAATCTACGAAAAATGTGGAACCTAGATTTGACCGATTTGGAATCTAGATATTTTTGTTACATAGGTGTCCAACAAGACAACTTGTTTTCTTAGAAAAAGACTCAAGTTTTCTTACAACTTAAGAAAAATATTGTAACAAATCTGCCTAGGGCATCAAATCATAGTGGAAGACAACGATACGGGTTTAAGTGGGATTCAAATGATACATGCTAGTTCAAGTTCTAAAAGTCTTGACATAATGTGAAACATGAGAACAAGTGGCAGAGATCCCTGACCTTTCTGTCACACTAGAATAATAAAGGCAAATACCATATCATCATTCAGAACATCAGTCAGAAATTATGCTTTATTCTTAAAAGAAGCCTTATGATTCGCACACTACATTTCCTTATTTTCTATGGAAAGTAGAGGTTGAACATAAAGTATACAAATTCAAACTTATGTAAAAGCATACAAATTCAAATTCAGTGCAGATTTTCTCTATTTTTTTCTACTTACTTCAGAACCTCTTTCTCCTTTTGGTCCTTGTTCCCCCATTTCACCTGGTTCTCCCTTTGGAAAGAGCAAACATTAAATAAATTTTAAAAATTATTTGTATGAGGATGAAAATGAATTTTCAACAACCAATAGCGAATTCTCACTGTTTCAAACACTTACTGGAGGCCCCTGCTGTCCAATAGGTCCTCTAAGCCCTGGAAGACCTACATGACCCTGGGAAGCAGAAAATAAAATATATTGCAATACAGATAACTCAGGATGCCAAGCAAAATGAGCTACAAATTTCTTTCTCATGCCCATCTTGGAAGGGGCTGAACGCCCCCAGCTCCAAGGATAAGTTTATAAAGGATTTTCAGCTCTCCTGGGAACAAACTGTGGGTATCTTTTCTTCTTTCATTTCACAAAACTTACTGCAAGAGAGAATTATATATTGCTTTAACATTTCTGCAATGCTACGAGCACAGATCACATTTCGTTCACTGATTTATTATCATGCCTGATCTCGACTGTCTGTATAACTCAAACAGGAAACCTTGCATCCAAAACTGTGTCTTTATATTGCAGCAAGAAAACATCATCAGAATGAAGGTATCATTCATTTACATTTGCTTAAAAACTGTAGGATAAGGAATAATTATTGGGATGAGATTTATAAAACCACAGGGCTTAGATTTCAAAGAAAAATGTTAACTGATCAGTTCGGTGAGGCACTAGCATGTACTTCTGTGCACACACTTCTCAGAGAACACCCGAGACTTCTGTTTCATTACACTGTATATGTGTATAACACTACATTCAAATAAAAAAGAAGTGAAAAGCAAGATGCAATACCTTGTAGCCCTCATTACCAGGTTCTCCCCTATCTCCACGTTC